ACCGTGTTGCCATCAGCAAAAGCACTTCTGCAGCTTTCCCTGTATCCCTTCTGAGTGCTGCAAACATTCCTGCCAAGACAAACCGTTATCTCAAGTTTCTTCAGAAGGACAAAATGATTCCTGCTGGTTGCTGGAGCAGGGATTTGGCTGGGCGTGGAAAAGCCAGTTTCCAGGAGAGGGGAGTTTAGCAGAAGTCTCCCTTCTTAGAGCTGACTGATAAATTAAATTTGCTTAATGGCCTTTTTGGCAGCTCATGATATGAAGAACGGCAAGAAAAAGGTGTTCAGTTGGTCCTTGCTCAGGGTTTGCTGAATCGATGGGAGAAGGGAGACCCTGGAGAAAGAAGGACGGTGCTGGACAGGTCTGTCTTTCCCTTAATAAGCAAATGTGCAATAGCTTGGGCAGAGAGCTGAGCTCTTTCCCTATTTCTAGCAGCAAGGTCATCACTGCACCTGCAGGCGCCCCAGCCCCGTCTGTTATTTGCAGTATTCTCTGCTAATTCCAATCTCATTTACAGTCTAATCCAATGTGGATGTGCAAAACAGCATAAACTGTCCAAAGAGGCGGGCATGCTGGCTTGGCTTTGAGTCTCACCTGTTAGCGTGGTGCTCAGCTGCGGCTCGTGTATCCACAGAGGATTTTAGTAGCAGTTGGAGGAATGATTCGGGCAGTGTTTCTGGGAGACGGCCAGAATGGCCAGGAGTGGTGCTCTGTCCCCACACTAGTACATAAACAATTAGAGCATTAGAGCTGTGCCAGAGGAGCAAATAAAACAGCAGATGCATTTAACCCTCCCTCTCCCACCCATCCAGCCAGGGTATGAAGCCTCCTTGCCCGGGGCTGCCCCAGAGCAGCCGCCGCGACCCAGCCGGTGCTGCTGGGTGGCAGTGGGGCTGGGACGGGGGCTGCAGGCATTGCCCACATACCTCCCCTCGGCTCAGCACGGGGCTGCTGCTCCTCCTTGCAAAGAATTCACCGGAGCTATTTTTAACGGCGCTGCCTGGGGAGATGGCTCAGAGTGAAACTGGGAAGCGCTCATCCCGGGGCGGTACTGCCTCGCTTGGGAAGGGGAGCACCGGTGTTGGTTTGCAAAGGCCCCTCTTTGTGTTTATTGCCCCCAGTTGGAGGTGTTTAATGTTCATGGCTCAATTTCCATCGCTGCCTTGAAAAGGGGCTTTTGAATTCTGCTGCTGGGTGCTGTAAAATCTGTGGGCCTCTGTTTCAGTTTCACCCTGACCTCCTCCGTCTCCAGACTTTCTCCTTTGCTGGTTTTTGCACGGGTTGCTTTTCTGCAGAGGCGCTGGGAGCTGACAGCACAACCAGCAGTAAATAAAAAAGTGTGGCCCCGATTCAAGTGCTGAAAAGTATCAAATTTATATGCATATAATAAAAGGCCGGCATTTTCCTTTTTGCAAAAGCTGATTCTGGTTTTTGAGCAGATCTTAAAATTGGAAGAAATTTTTCCTCCTATATGTTTCATGTCTAAGGTTCGAAGATCACCTTCCTGCCTCCCTCAAACCTGCCTGAGCTTTTTTTTTTTTTTTTTAACTGCTTGTGCCCGAAAAAATCGTTTCTCCTCTTTTTCATATTAATCTTTTCCCCCCAGTCATGTTTTTTCTTTTTTTTTTTTTTTTTAACTGCTGTGCCCAGCAGACCCCAGGCCATGGGCTGGGAGAGGCTTTTGTGCTGTGGGTTGCATGCGCTGGGCTCTCCCAGGGCTGCTTTACAGTCAGGGCCAAGTTTTTCTCTGCGTTGAGCTCCCAGGCACTGTCAGCCATGCAGATAAATAATAAATTCAGAAATACTCTAGGCAAGTTAGATGTTATTGTTATGGCTGGGCGCTTTCCTCCAGGCTGTGCTTTGTCACGGTGTTACTAAACCCTCAGCGCGGCTTTTTGGAGGGCTGCGTGCAGCAGTGTCTTCTCTTCGTGCCCCGGGGATGCGCGGCACAGCCGGGGGAGATGTACTTAAAACACCATGCCGTGTCTCCATAAGCCAGATTTTCATCACCTGGCTGCTGCTGTAATAAATGATCTCAGTGACGGAGGGACCCAGCACAGGGCCAGGCTGCTGGGGGAGAGCAGTGCTCTGCCTTGTGCCACGGCCTCCCTGGGACACCAGGGCCAACACGTGGTGTGCCGGAGCTGCCAGATTTGAAGCTGCAGCTGTGTTGATCTTAGTCCCCCCAAATCAAACACTTCTGGGTGACTTTGCAAGCAGGGGGACAGGAGCAGAGGTTGGGCGTGTCTCGCCGAACGAGGGAGCCGGGCAAAGCTGCCGTGCAGCTCCCCTCCCCAGGGCAGTGGGGGATCCCAAAGTCGTGTCGCTCAGCTTGCTGTCACAGCCCTGTGTGTGGAGCTCTGGAACTGCCCCATGGCCTCCCTGGCCTCACGCCCCTCTGCGCCCAGGAGGGCTCGTCGCAGAGCCCTGCTAGCCTTGGGGCCGTGGTGGCTCACAGCGATGGCTCAGCCCAGCTGGCTCAGCTCCCCACCACCCGCAGCATCCTCTCTGCAGCCCAGGTTGGGGTCTTCCTGGCCTTGCCATCTCTTTACCCGCAGGAACTGCAGTACCCAAGCCCCATGCAGCAGCCAGGTAGCATCCAGCAGCTTCTCTGGAGGAAAGGAAATCTCCAGCAGGAGAAGAGCGTAATTGGGAGCTGCCTTGTCACCTCCAACACCCCCAGGCTGTTCCCTTGTGTTGGCCCCAGATGCTGGGGGAGAGCCGAGCGTGCAGGAGCTATCTGCACCCATTTGGTAACACATCAGCATGAGTCCAGCTTTGTCCTTATTAGCGGAGGGAACAGACCCTGCATCCAGTCCACTTCCAGACTGCTTTTTTGGGAGTCACCTTTAGGAAGGCATCCACCTGCTTGCCAGGAGCTGCCTGCTGCTCCCCCAGCTGGGGCCAGCTGGCTGGTTATCTGGCTGGGAAGTGGCCGGGATAGCCTCTGCCTGGCTCAGCGAGCGGCTGAAAGGGAGGATTTTATCTCTGTATGGTGAATCCCATCCTCCGAGAGCAGCAGGACAAAGCCAGGGGTCAGAGCACGTCCTGCCAGGGTGAAGAGCTGCAAGCTTCTTCCCAGGGCAGGCTGTGTGCTCCACGTGCAGCGCACCCAGCCCACTCTGATCCCCCAGGCATGGAGAGCACAGAAACATCCCCCTTGGCCCCTGCCAGATTATAGTGGAATTAATCACGCTGATTATATGCTACCAAAAAAGGAGGTGCTTTCTCTGTTCAGAGCTGCCTCAGACCTGCTTGCGAGCAGCAGCTTAAAATTGCTGTTTTCTGCCTCATCATGTCTTGTTTCTGGGTTTTTCAGGAGATTTTGGATAAAAAAACAGGAATGACAGCAATCCCAGGCAGCTCAGCCTGCAGTGAAAGTGGGGAGATAATGTGTGAGTGTGGGCAGGGAGGTGAATCATGGCTCCAGCAGAGCGGGATGTCATCCCAGGGAGAGACTGGCTGAGCCACAGCAGCTCCACACCCTCTTCTCTATCGCAGGGCCCTGAACAGCGTTTTCGGCTCCCTGTCAAGTCACACTATTGCCTGTATCAGTTGGGATTAATGCCCTACATTTAGTTCTTTCCCCACAGCTACTCAAAACGGGGGGGTGGTGGGTGTATGTATGTGTGTATATATATATCTTCTACCTTCTAAGGGTACAGAACAGCATTTCTATCACCTTTTCATTGCACCTGTTGAGTATTCAGACTAAAGCTAGTCCTGTCTGTATACTGCATCTCAGTTTAATGGGAAAGAATTAATCTTGATTTCATGACTGACAGTCCAAAAATTCCTCTGGAGCATTTTCACTGCAGGGATGAGAACTGCATCTTTCCTCATTTTTTGTCCTAAAACACGACCAGATACCAACCTGAGTCTGAAAAGGGCTCATCAGACACCCTAAGTCCCCATTAAAGGTTGTAATTTGTAGTGAATTGGTGTTTAAGGGCTGCTAACTGCGTATCGAACTGTGCACACAAAAATATGTGGTTTTGCATTTGCAGCCAGTGTATGCTCCATTACGTGCAGCAAGGGAGATATGGGGAGCCTCAGCAAACATGGTAGTAAGAGCATGGGGAAAGCAGCTCTCTGTAAGCCCCGGGTGGAACAAAGCAGCTGAATATACGGTACTTCACCCTCCCTTATTTTTAAGGTGCGATTTTGCTATTTGAAGTCAGCTCCTTCCCAGACCACGAGCAGCTGGGCTGTAAAGCCAGCCCTGCTTTTAGCATAAAGATCACAGGGCCCCGAGCACGAGGCACGCGAGGAATATGACAGCTGGCCAGCGAAATAACTCTGATAGCCCTATAGCCCTATGGAGCAAGGTGGAGATGTGCTGGGAAAGAGTGGAGAGGACTCGGGGAGCCAAGCTGAGAGGGATGCAATAGTTCTGCCTTTCCTGGCACCGGTGAGAGCAGCCCCCTGGGCTGCGGTGAGTAAAGGAGCCCCTTGGACAATGTGTGTTGTTTGCTGGAGAGCTACAGGAGAGACATTTGGGGTAAAACGTGTCCAGTGTGCTGGGCAGGGGCACGCTGCCTCTGGCGAGGTGCAGCGGCTCAGGGCTGGTGACAGTACAGCGGTATTCAGCCATCACGTTATTGTTCCCTTGTGTTCCAAAGATGCCTGCGGTGATGCTTTAGGCATTCCTCTGAGCTAGGTTTTCAGTGCTTCGCAACATGGCGGCAAGCCCATTTTGCAGCACCTGCTGCCTCGCTGCAACAGGTGAACATGCTCGTGTTTGCAAATACACCCGCCCTGTTCCCTTGTGTGGCTACGTGCAACCTTCACACCTTAGCCTTAAGCATCTGTGCCCCTTACTTGTTGAAAATCTGGTCTTTTCTCCTCGAGTGTGGGGTTTTTGGGTCAAGTGGGCAAGCGCTGAGTGCTGTTATGCCAGATGGGCTGATTTGATTTTGTTGCTGGACAGGGTCCACTGCTCGAACTGGGACAATCCTGGCTCAGACGGTGCTCACTGTTGTCCCCTCTTCTCTCCGCAGGACGGCTCATGCCAAAGCCAAGGCTGAAGGGTCTGAGCAGGCAGCTCAGGCAGCTAACAACGAATCAGGCATAGCCAGAATGATGGCCAGGGAGCTCTCCCCGGACTTCTACCAGCCAGGTAGGACCAGAGGCATCTTCTAAGAGGGATTCTGCAACTTCCTTGGGGAATCTGTTCAAATGCTTCAACCGCTTTATAACTCCACAAGTTGCCTTCCTGTTTATCCTAAATCCTCTTTCGTGCAAGTTCAGCCAGCCCCCTGCCCTGGATGATTTGCTGTCCTCCTTGCACCACTGTTTTACCTGCTGGAATATGTTACCGTAGCCTGGAGGAAAAGTCCACAGTCCCTCAACTTCCCCTCGTGTTTCTCCATGCGGAAGCGCTCCCAGCACCAGGCAGGGCAGGCAGCGAGCTCAGGTCTATTTGCAGCGCTCCTGTAGATATATCCCTCGTAGCTTTTTCTTGGAACAGCTTTGCACATTGACTCACAAGCCCATATCCTGTGGGGCCCCACTCCGCACCAGGGTATGATCAGACTCGGCTAATTAGGGGCTGTAATATCCTATAAGAAAGTTACTAATGCAAAATACTACTTCCCTGATTCCCTATTTATTTGTTAGCATCACTGCTGATTATTTGGCTGGGAAAACACTTGGGAGGTTCCTTCTGTGAGACCAAGCACTGAGGATTAGTAGATAGGAAGTGTAATATTAGAAGCAGCATTGTGAATGCCATTACCTTTCTCTAGACCGAGTTAGCTAGAGATATATTCTTCCTGGAAAGCTTTCCTTTCCAGAGAGGGAAGGTAATAACAGAGCAGAAAAAAGGATCTGAGTGCCTCCATTTTTATCTTGTCTTTCTTATTATCCGCCTTTGTTACCTGGAACAAGTGCCTTGTGGCTGCTGAGGCAGGATCACAAGGGACCATCACAGCAGCAAAACCGGCAGTAGAAGCCAAAGGTTGACTCCTGCTCAGCAAAACCTGCTGCTTGCTCCTGCTCTGGTTTCAGTGCCTCCGGGTGTCCGGTACTACACCCCGGCACAGGGCACGCAGTGGGAAAGGGGAACAACTCACACCTGGCGCTTGGCCGGGGAGAGTCATGCTGACAGATTTGCCTAAATTCCCCGTACTCCCACCTTGCCCTGCACCTACTAGCTGGGGAGACGCTGTGCTGAAGGGCTGCCCGTTCCTCCCCACCACCCAGCAAGGCCCATCGGAGCTGGCTTTGAGTGGGGAAACACCACAGCGGCCGGGCATGGGCGTGAGCCAGCGTGTGGCACTTCATTTAACAATAGCTAAATGTCGCTTGATCCTGACATAAGCCCCCCAGCTGCCACTCACAGCTCCACATTTACCCTTTGCACACTGGGGTATTTATAGCACAGAGGTGAAGGAAACTGGAATTCCCGATGGGAGGTTTTTGACATCTAGCTAGATTATTTTTTCCACCCATGGCAATTGAATGAGACAATTGAAACAGTCTCTGCAAAATGCCTGAAGCAGCCTGGCCTCTGCTCCTGTCTCCTCGGGTGCTGAATCCTCTCGCCGCTTTTATGTAGGGCTTCGCTTGGGTCCTGGCCACTCTCAGTGGCCTTGTAAGCTGCTGATGCATGTTTTTCTTCTATGATTCTTTTAAACCTCTAAATTCCCTAAGTGCACAACAAGGGGAAATGTCTCTTCTTGCACAGCTGCACCATCCAGGAACAAACAGACAAAAGTCCACCCTTGGGTTTTGCTAGGAGTCAGAGCTGCTGGTCACACAGCCAGGAGAGCCTGGCAGTGTTCGGCAGCTGTGTTTCCCCCTGCTATCCCGGCAGATAGACCCTGCTATGTCTGGCACAGGGCAATCCTGCTCAGCAAGCCTCATATCTCTAATAAGTATTGAGCCCTGGGTTTCATTTAGGATATCAACACTAATAGCTTAGAGGAGAGGGATGTAAGCCAAAGCCTTTGCTGAAATGTCGTGCTGGGAGGTGCAGGTGGGAAGGTGAGGAGGATCAGAGCTGTGCGGTGCCCTCCAGGCAGTTGGAGGTTTTTTGGTGTGAATTATTCAGGAGGAGAAGAAAGCAGCAGGAGAGAGTGAGAAGCCTGGAGCTGCAGGCAGCCTATTTTGAGGAGTCTGAACAACTGTTGAAACGGCTTCCAAATAATCCACTTGCAGCCAGAAATAAACGGCCCTGAATGGGTCACCTGCTGATTGACAGGAGTGTGCAGGCAGGGCAGAGCAGCTAAAATCAGTGCCCTCTTTCTCCCCACCGCCCCCTTCAAGCGGAGACATTGCCTGCATGGGCAGGAGGTAGCAGCGTGCAAATCACACCGCTGATTTATTAGAGGGAAAGGAGCACCAATCCCAATTTCCTGACCAGGCTCAAGTCTGCATCAGTCCTTGGGGTGGAGGAGATGAGGGGAGGAACCGTGAGGCAGCCGGGGATGGCGCGGCTCCAGGGTCTGTGCCATTCAGGAGCACAGAGCAAGCCCTGTACGTTTGCACCCCTCAGCATCACTTGGATTCAGCAGAATGAGGCCAAAGCCACTTTCAAAAGCAGGTGCTTTGCTTTCAAACAAGCTGCTTTGTGACCTCGCGCTGCCCATAAGGAGCATGCTCTTCTTGTTCTCACTTGCTATGAGCATCGCGGTGATGTGCACGGACCCCTGTCCCAGCGCGGGTCCCAGCATGCAGAGCACTGTGCACGGTTGTTATTCCAAAAGATATTCCCAGTTGTTCAGTGGTGGATTTTGCTCAGCCAGCTGCCCAGCACGATGGATATCTTCGGTGTCAGGCTCTGGCTGACTTCCCCAGACCCTAGCTGGGCTGCAATTTGCTTTGCAGACATGGCCTAGGGTTAACAAGAAGTAAAGATTTAATAATAGGTGAATAATTGAAGTGAGGGCAACGTTGCTAAGAGCTGACAAGTCAGTGTGGGAGATGAGGCCGGAACGAAAGTCGAAGCCCTGAGTCACCTTGTGTGGTGGTGCCAGGTAATTTTGCTGCTGTTGCGGGGCTCAGTGCAGAGAGGAGGGCTGTGAAACTGCCAGCCCTGCTCCATGCATGAGAAACGTGTTTTTCCCATCGTGAGGGATGACAGGTAGGTCATTTGGGGATACCTGCCTTTCCCGAGGAGACTGGGCATGCCCCGTATCACTTGTGAAGTTGCCACGCTATTAGACACCAAAGAAGCCACATGGAAGAGTTTCCCAGCCGTTAAAAAAAAAAACAAAAACTTGGGTGGGAGCTGGATCCTCTTTAGCCCCAGGATAACCCATCTGTATGACTGCAAAAAGCTGGGCTGCAGATTTTCACTGTTTCTTCACCCTCATCTGGAGCTCCCCGCCTGCTGCTTTGGCTCTTCCCAGCCAAATTTTTCCCAGGGGAAAATGTCGGACAGGGAAGAAAAAGCTGAGTGGGGTTTCTTTTTTACCTGTTACTTTTACTCTTTTGCAGCAGGGGCACCCCATGAGCTAAACTGTGGTATCGAATCACCAGCTGATTTCCCAGGTTTAAAATACAGAAATTCAGTTTTGCTGTTAGCAAATACAGCTGTTAGCACGCTGTGGGGCTCAGAGCCTCCGGCTGCTCCTGGAGGAAATCCCTCCTGGAAGCAGGCTCTGGTTTGGGAGCATCTCCTCTCCCAGCCTCCAGCCTGGACCCTCTCGCAGTCGTCCCCAAACCCGTTGGGGCTGTGGACATGGCTGTCAAAGGTGCAATGGTGGCGTGGAGCTGGGGTGGCCTGCCATCCCTCCGGCCCCCGGGGAAGCTCCTCACACCAACCCCTCTCTCCACAGGCCCCGAGTACCAGAAGCGGAAGCTGCTGCAGGAGATCATGGAGAACACAGTGCACGCTGTCAACATGGAGGAGGAG